AATAATTATTATTATTATTATATAACTTTTTTTTCATCTTTTTTCCTGGATGTAGGTTGTGGCCGTTATGCAGGTGGCCAAGGTTATAATAGCATAGGGCACTTTTGTGGAGGATGGGCTGGTAATTGTGGAGATGGTGGTATTGGAGGAAGCACTTGGTATTTGGTTTGTGATCGATGCAGAGAAAAATATCTCCGTGAAAAGCAAGCAGCAGCAAGAGAAAAGGTATTTTCATCTATTGCTCACATGTTTAGCTCTCTATCTGATTAATCACAACTTGAAAATAAGGTAGGGCCAGTTTAAAAAATCAGGAATTTCAGAATTTTTGAAAGTTTTAGAATATTCACTTCTGTCATTTATAGGTTTAAAATAATAAAGTAGAAACTTTGCTGATCACTTCCCTTCAGATGGCAGCATTTTCAAATTTGTAAAGTAATTTTATTTTTTATCCCATCAGCATTGAATGCAGTACCTAATTTTTTTAAAAGTATGTGTCAGTTCATTTAAATTTGAATTCTGTTTTATTTGTTTACTGAAATACGAGTACTGTTTTAACTTTCTGTGTTTATAGTTTCTTTAATGATCTTCATCATCCAGATCATTGGGTACAGATGCCAAACACTGGGCAAACTAGAGCAGTTTTTAATGGCAATAGTATGAAAGGTGTTCTCATATTGGTCTTCCATGACCAATTTCATATTCTTGCTTGAAGTATTTGTAATATGTTGAGGTATTAAGATAAGCAGAATAATGCTAGTTTAACTTTATTTTTTAAACTAAATTTATTGAAACTCTTTGCACACAAAATGCATCCCGAGACAAACACAAAAACATTCTTCTGTTTATTAAAAGTTTGCAAAGTTGCTGAAATAATAGAAGTGCCATTTTGTGAGAAAACATTTTATAACAGGAATAATCAAGCAACTTTAGTATAAGTGACCTTGACAGCTTCTGCTTGCAATGAAGTATAATTTAAGTATACCTTTTTTCAATTTCTCTAGATTAAACAATCTAGGAGAAAACCAATGCAAGTTAAGACACCTCGTGCCTTGCCAACTATGGAAGCTCATCAAGTGATTAAAGCCAATGCACTATATTTATTGTCACTGAGTAGCGCTGCTGAGCCCAGTATCCTCTGCTATCACCCTGCAAAAGCATTCCAATCTCAACTTCCCAGTGTCAAAGAAGGAATTTCTGAAGACTTTCCCATTAAAATGCCATGTCTTTATCTACAGACTTTAGCAAGGTAATTAAAGGAAGCTTATGCGTATTGATTTTTACACTCATCTATTTATAGTGTTAGATAAAAATGTGTGTATAAACTAAACTAAAATTTACATTGAAAAATACATATTTTCCAAATTCTTTATGATCTTTATTCTTCTTTCTCTTCTGTTTCCATTATCTTGTTCAGTTTCTTGCATTGTATTTGCTCCAAGGGTCAAACATACCCTGAATAGCTTTTGGATGATAAATATTTTTTAACAACAGTTTAGTTTCTGTCTAAAGAATATAGAATTTCCTTAAGGGTTTAACTTAGTGTGTTAGTAGCAGACATATGTGCTACTTTTCTCTCTTCGCAGTTAAAAAAAGAAGACTGAGGCTTACTTGGTATTCTGAGTAGATTTCACTGTAGTGTCATATGTTTATGGATGGATAGACATTTGGGCCTGAGATACATAATGGAAATGAAAATACTAAAGGATAGCAAAAGGTGACCCCCACTCCCTGTTGGTTGTAAATGTCATTATATTTTCCACTAACACTTGTAAGTCACAACTGGCTTAAATGCATCAGATGAGGAGTAAATGAATAGCACTGGCTGGCTGAGTGTATTGGCAAAGGACTTTTGTGTATGTGTGTGTTTCAGGAACTTGTAATCCTTAATCCTAATTTAAAAATCTAATTTGATGTAGGCATCATCATGAAAATTTTGTTGGGTACCAGGATGACAACCTCTTCCAGGATGAGATGCGGTACCTGCGCTCAACTTCAGTACCTGCACCGTACATCTCAGTTACTCCTGATGCAAGCCCTAATGTCTTTGAAGAGCCAGAGAGTAACATGAAATCTATGCCCCCAAGGTACTTCCTTGTAATTCTAGGTGTTACATACAAATGCTAAAGCATCAGCATAGCACCAATTTCTATTGGTTTTCTTTTTATAAATAAAATATTGCTGTAAAGTAGCTAAGGTATCAGATCAGCCCAGATCAATCTCTGAAATGGCAGCAAAAAACCCAAAAACACATGAAGCTGTAGTTAGAAAAATATCTTCAGTGAATCATAGTGTATCAGGTATATTTTCAACCACTAGGAATGCAAGTTTGCAAATCAGATTTGCAACTTTTAACTGTAATGCAAACCAGTTGCTTCCCTCTAGAAAGGTCTTGAGTTTACAACTTATATATGAAAAAAAATTGTTCAGAAATTGATACGGACTGCTAGCATAACACAGGGAAATTTATCCATAGTCCTTACTCCAGACCTGTTTATTGCCCTATAGAAACAAATACAGTTTTTCCAGAATCTCCAGAATTGTGGAACTGAAGAAGTGATCTGAAGAGCAGTTGCCAATCGTAGCTGTTGCAAACTCCTTGAAAATGTAGCCATTTTTTTTCCCTGCATTCTTGTTCTTTAGCACAACTGATTGTAGTGCAGATTAATGGCCTTTTTGAAAGAAAATAGCTGTTATCCTCCATTCAGGATTTCATTCTGAAGCGAAGCTTGAACAGGAGGGAATTTCATTACCTTAGTTTTTTCAAAGCAAATGTTGCTGCTGTTTTCTGTGGGAAGCTAAAGTGTCACTGAAGAAATGACAACTTAATGGTGTCTAGGACCAAGAGAGCTAGATGGTTTCTGTCAGGTTAAGCCAGTTTCTTATTTCATTAAGTTTACTATGATCTAATTGAGGCAATTACAGAACTTTTTGTTTTGCCAGGGAAAAAAAGGTTGTTACTGTTACTTAGTAATAGTCCAGAATCAATTTAGATGCTCAGTGTTTTCAGATGTCAAACAATGATTCCTCATAATGAGGTTGTAATGAAGAGAAAACTTGCTTTTAATCTGTTTCTATTTCAATATGTTATATTTTATACTAACTGCAAGAACAGTTTATTGGAATACTACAACCTACAATGTAGTCTTTTCAGAAATAGAACTTTTCTAACAAAACTCCTTAAGAGTGCATCGTATTGGTATATTCCTTTATTAAAACTGTGGACACCATGGTCTCCTGAGGCCTGTAGGGACAGCATATGCTGGGAGTTCTTCTGCAGACTGTAAGAAGTACACTGAAGGTAAGGAGTAAAACCTGTCATAGGCATAGCCGTAGCAATTGAAAATTGGCTTTAAGACTAATGATGTTAGAAACTTTTACTTCATATAAAGTTCTAAATTTCAGTTGGCTTGCATATTAAAAGTTCACTCCATAGATGTTTTCACGTGCCTTCCCAGGGCAAATTTGGTCTGAAACTTCAATTCAGGCATGATCTGAATGTTTGTATTCTCTCTAAAAAATACCTAAATTCTTGGAACTTACCATGTACATCATTACATTTATTTATAAAGCACTTGCATGCTTTTTCACCATGTGTAATTCTAATACGCGTTCCTTCTTTTCCAGCATTTCAACAGTTATTAGGTACATAAGACAAACTTTCATGCAGTAGTAGCATTGTCATTATGAAATGCATGTGTCTTTATTTAATATTTATGTATAATTCAAGTATACTCTGTATATCCGTTAATGGGTCTATAACTTCACTGATTTCTTTGTAGTTTGGAAACCAGTCCGATAACAGATACAGATCTTGCGAAGCGTACAGTCTTTCAAAGGTCATATTCAGTTGTTGCATCAGAATATGACAAACAGCACTCAATTTTGCCAGCACGTGTAAAGGCAATCCCTAGGAGACGAGTCAACAGTGGAGATGCAGGTAAGAGCACAGACAGCAGCAGCAATGAAAAAATATTCAACGATATGGCATTGGATTTGCAGTTCTTCTTGGAAACTGTAGACAAATATACGTTTTTTATAAATACAGGAAATGGGTTTTATTTATTAATAAACATTAGCTGTTTGTTAATCCACATATGATTAGCCTAAGAACAGCTCAGGAATTACTGAGGGCCTAAAATCTGTGGTGCATCTTTTGTGCTTGATTTAAAAGTTAAAGTGTTATTTTCTTTGTGATTTGAAGCATCATTTTTCCACCTTGCTTTTTTTAATATATTTTTGTCATAGAAAAAATGAACAAAAATGTCAGTTTGAAAATTGTTCTATTGCTTTTTATTTTCACTGTGGCTATAAAATTAAAATGCACAAAGAATCTAATGTATGCATATTTTTATGCTTTTGAATAGAAGTGGGGTCCTCTCTCCTGAGACATCCATCTCCTGAACTTTCTCGGTTAATCTCCGCCCACAGCTCTCTTTCTAAAGGAGAGAGAAATTTCCAGTGGCCAGTATTGGCATTTGTAATCCAGCATCATGATCTGGAAGGACTTGAAATAGCAATGAAACAAGCCTTACGGAAATCTGCTTGCCGAGTCTTTGCCATGGAGGTATTATTGTACTAATAGATCTTGTATGATTAAAAGAAGATATTTGTAAATTCTGTCTCAGATTTTTTTTAAATAATTTTTATTTAGAATTTTTTAAAAAAGGTATTATTTTGTAATGTGCAGTTTTCTAAATTCTGTTTATTTATTTTTTAGTTTTAAAACTATTCTAAAATTTCATTTGCTTGTATTATTAACTCAAAAAGTTATTAATTCAAAAACATTGCCTGTAAACCTCCTTCAGTAGTTTATCTGTTGTGTAGATAAGAGAATATTATTAAGACTGCAAAAATCAATTATATGAATATTGTTTTCTCCCAATTTGCTCAGCATCTTACTGGTCTACTTGCCATTCCTTTTTCAAATCTTGGACTGAGTACTCTTTCTTTAGAATTGTTTTGGTGCTGGTGATATTTAGATACTTCACAAGTTCCTCCTGAGATGGGTGAATGCTACCCCTGTTATGTAGATACTGAATGAGCGACCAAAAGATCAATTGCTACAATCAAAGCTGCAAGAGGCATCCTCATTGAGGCCTTTTTTTTTAATGTCAGCTAAGCTATAGTGAAGTTTCTTCTGTACTTGTATACAGCATGGGTATTTTTCAAGTAATTGTAACTTGTGAGAATATAGGTGGATTTTTTCAGATACAGTAAAAAACACAACTCTGCTGTTAAGCACCACCCGACAAATTTCCAAAGATCAATGTGCAGAAGTATTGCAACTTTCAGAAAAAATATAAGAATGTTACAATCTTTAAAAATCTTTTTTTCTGTTACTGTGTTGATTTTTTTGGAAGTGACTGAATTGTTGTGATTAATTCAGTCAATGGGAGAGACCGAACAAGGAAACCAAATCTGAGCCTATGGAGTTCTGAATTAGAAAGGATCTTTACTTTGTTAACCGATTTGTATAGAAAGGAGTGCCGCCACCTCATCCTGTAATGAACTCTGAAAATACATAAGAACTTTGCTTTTTCATCCTTAAAGCTTTTTTCAAATAACTTATTTTTGTGTATGGTGTTTATGAATTACTTTACTATGTCCCCTGTAATATAGATGTCATTTGAATAAAATGTTGCAGCTGCAGAGCAATATATCTTACTTTAAGACCTCTGCATTATCATTTGCCTGTCCAGAAGCATCAGTGCACCTCCTTACATAAAGGGTTTAAGAAATGGTTTTATTCCAGGTTTGCTTAACCAATTAATAATCCTTGTGTGTATTTTATTTTAGGCTTTCAACTGGCTTCTTTGTAATGTTATTCAAACAACTTCTCTTCATGATATTTTATGGCATTTTGTGGCTTCCCTGACTCCTGCACCTGTAGAGCCTGAAGAAGAGGAGGATGAAGAAAATAAATCAAATAAAGAAAATGCAGAACAAGTAAGTGAGGCTCATCATTCCTTTCATAAATACAGTATCTCTGTTGATTTTGTAGTCAATTTTGAAATATTTTTATTATGTGTTAAAAAAAACATACCAAAAAAGAAACCCTTAATCCTCTTTCTGTGAAACAGAACATTAATTATGGAATGAATATTCTTAGTCTTAAATTGTACTTTAACTGTTTTGATAATCATAGATAAATTAATTTTTCTTCTAAAATCAGTGAATTTTGTGTGCTGATGAAGTACTGCCTTTAATGCATCATTTTTGTGAGTATTCATGGGAAAGAAGAAAAAAAAAATGCACAAGCACATTGCTTCCAGTAACAAAAGAATTTACTGTTCGCTTTTTATTCTTCCTTTGCCCCCACCCCCATAGACAAAAAGAAGAGAGAAAAGAGTATTTTTCAGAGAAACTTTGGTCTGCTGTGTCTTCCAGTGCTTTAAGAAAAGTGTACAGTTAATTCTTAAAATTTATAGTTAATTTAAGTAATTCTGTCTGTATATAAATAATTATCTATATAAGTAGTTACATATACACTAGATATAGTTAATTTTGTGATTTAAGAAAAATCTATAGATAGTTTTGAAAAATAGCACATAAAATGGTATAGTCTAACATATCACTCTTCCAAAAGATATCTCTATACAATCTCTTCTAGATCTATCTCTTATTGAAAACATGATAATATCCACAATGAGTAGCTCAAGAAATCATGCTAGTGCTGTTAGTAAGAGTAATTTTTACCACTTCAAATCTAATCCATCTTGAAATTAGAAGGACACTAGAAAGGAATATCAAAATATGCCACTTCTGCTCTGGTGGGAATGCTGCTTCTCTTTTGATATAATGAAGAGGGACTTAAAAATTCCCCTTGGTCACTTGGCTAGTATGAATATTTTATGGCATACAAGAAAATGACAACAGTTTTCAGCTAGTTGTTAACTATCACTCAGGTGATGTATATTCAAATCACAACATCTCCCTTCAGTAGTCTGATCATATGATAAAAACACCCATGTAAATAGATGTACAGAATGTAATAAATCTGAGCCAGTTTGGTGCTTTTCTACAACTGGGATTAATTTCCTTATGTGAAATATTTTTACACATTCTTTTAGTATACTGGGAGAGGGTGAGAAATCCCAGTGATGAATTCTTTAAAAATGAGGGATGGGAGTCTAGAACCATAAATACATAAAATATAGCTTCAAGGGCAATGTCCATGCTAAAGCAAAACAAAATGCGAGAATTGCTAAGCTGCAGAGGAGATGGGGGGAGCAGGATGCTATCTGCATAGATAGGATCCCTGGGAAATACCTAGGCTTTGAACTTTTTCTGAGTAATTGATTATACTTAGCATAGAGTTTAATCTCATGCTTCCTACTTCATACGGTGAGTACATTTTACCACATTAGGCCCTCCAGGAAAATGCAGAGAAATGTCTGGTTTGATGATTCTTATCTAGGTAAGCATGTGCCTAAAATTCATTTCAAATAATACCATAGCATTTCTAGGCATTCAAGCAGTCAAGATTCATAGGAAATGTACTTGCAGGAATATACATAGACAATCTAATGGGTTTAAAATAGTAAGTTTGACTCTGTCTTCGGATGTCAGCATGTTGGAGGCATGCAGATGGGTTCCATGTTTCAAACAGGATCAGATTTTCTTTTAAAAAAAACAGCAGATGAAACAGTTTGTATCCTTCATAGATAGTCTTTCCTTGCCTTCTGAAACTGGATATCGTGATCAGAACCTACTTCTCTTTCTCTGCTACTCTTCCTCATCACATGCCTTTCTGGCCCTGACCCTCTGTGGTCCTCTGCCACTGCCCTTGTACTCACTGCCCAGTGGACCTTGGCTCCTAATGCACAGCCATTCTGATACTGACACACCTTAACTAAGAATCGTTATTTTCACAGCTCTAATGAATAAAGCCACTGATAACCGTAGCTTAATTGCCAAGTTTGTTATGCTGGTTTTTGTGCTCAAAAAAGCTGGAATACATTATTTTTTCTAGTTTGTTTTCAAAATATTGCAATGTAATGTTTCACATCTTTAAATCAGGAGAAATATGTGGTAGTATACAGTCTATTTCCAAATTCCTTGTTTGGTGTTCAGGTACAACTTGGTATTGTAAAAAATTGTCTGATGAGAATTTGAACTTCACACTCATTATAGGGTTGTTGCAGTTATTCTTAAACCAAATAGCAAAAATGTATTTCTATTTATTTAACCTTTTTCTCTGAAAGTCTTTTAACAACATACAAATCGCTTTGCGTCGTAGGAAAAAGACACAAGAGTATGCGAGCATCCTCTGTCAGATATACTGATTGCTGGCGAAGCAGCTCACCCGTTACCCCACACTTTTCATCGCCTTCTCCAGACAATCTCCGATCTTATGATGTCTCTTCCCAGTGGTAGTGCATTACAGCAAATGGCCTTAAGGTAAGCACAAATTAAGAAAATTCTTAAAAGGCTGGAAACATTGTAACATAGATGAAAAGATTTTGCAAAGTAGATAGGAAGTCTGAAAAACTTTGTGCCTCTGTGAAAAGGAGCGTGTCTATCCTTACACATAGGAAGGATAGATGTAAAAGATGTATGTATGTGTTTATACATATAAATAATAGTATAAAAGACTTTGTAGAGAAAAATTGGCTCTTAAACTCTGTACTGTATCCACTATGAAAAAAAAACATATTATTGAATAATATGGTAGAATCTGTGTGTAAGTGCATGGTAACGTAATACCTTTTGCTCAGAGATCTGTCATCTGGTTAGTGTCCTTAAACTGTTTGAAATTTTTCTTGTGTATCTGTCTCAAAGATACAAATTTAATAATAATGATTCTATTCACTGTTAAAATTCTAAGAAAAGTTTGTTCCTGCCTTCTTCAAAATGGTGCATAGAAACACTTAAGATTCTTTAAAAATTTGAAGTTAAAGGTTTATGGAAAGTATTTTGAGAATCAAAAATGTAATTAATAGTTTCATTGATAGGTTATGTCTTTTAAACAATATTTAAAATTTCAGAGTTCACTAAATATGTTTTCAGGTGCTGGAGTCTCAAATTCAAACAATCTGATCACCAGTTCCTGCACCAGAGCAATGTTTTTCATCATATCAACAATATTTTGTCTAAATCTGATGATGGAGATAGTGAAGAGAGTTTTAGTATCAGTATTCAGTCTGGTTTTGAAGTCATGAATCAGGCAAGTATTACATCTCTCTCTCAGAAGCAGAAAACAGTTATGAACAGCCTGTACTTCATGTTATCATTCTGTTTGAAATAAAAAAATTCTTTATTGCAATGTCATATTTCCTTGAATGTATCTCAGTTTGGGATCTTGTTGCTGATATTCAGGTTCTCATATTTAGCTTTAGAGGTTCAAATATTGACCCTTAGCCTTTATATCACTCAAACCTAAATTTTGGAGCAGTGCTTGTAAGTGCTTGTTTGCGAGTACAGTGTTTGGGGATCTCATATGGTTCACTTAGTTAATTCATTTGGTTCATTCATTTAGTTCACTTTTTTAATGCTGTATACTTCCAGTACTTACTTGCTTTTATCTTTTTTTCCTTCTATTATTCTGAAGAGCACAAATTAGTATTCCTGATGAAGATGTTTAAAGTGTGTTCTTCCATTTATCATAGAATCATAGGATCATAGAATGATTTGTATTGGAAAGGACCTTAAAGATCATCGAGTTCCAACCCCCCTGCCGTGGGCAGGGACACCCTCCACTAGACCAGGTTGCTCAAAGCCTCATCCAACCTGGCCTTGAACACCTCCAGGGATGGGGCATCCACAGCTTCCCTGGGCAACCTGTTCCAGTGTCTCACCATCCTCACAACAAAAAAACTTCCTCATATCTAATCTAAATCTACCCTCTTTCAGTTTAAAGCCATTGCCCCTTGTCCTCTCACTACACTCCCTGATAAAGAGTGCCTCCCCATCTCTCCTGTAGGCCCCCTTCAGGTGCTGGAAGACTGCTCTAAGGTCTCCCCGGAGCCTTCTCTTCTCCAGGCTGAACAACCCCAACTCTCTCAGCCTGTCTTCAAAGGAGAGGTGCTCTAACCCTCTGATGATTTATTAATACATTTAGGCATATTCATCTGTTAGCTATTAATATTTCCTTTGGCTTAAAGAGCTGAATAATTTGAACCAATAAATGACAAATTTCTTCTTTAATTCAGAGCGCGTTTTCCTCAGAACAGAAGTGTCTGTATAGTTTTAGGATTTCTAAATAATGCCTGTATTTGGGCTTTCAGATATTTTAAATATTTTCATTTGTTTTCACAGGAACTGTGTATAGTAGTTTGTCTAAAAGACCTAACCAGCATTGTTGACATTAAAACATCAAGCCGACCTGCCATGATTGGTAGTTTAACAGATGGGTCTACAGAAACGTTCTGGGAGTCAGGAGATGAAGATAAAAACAAAACTAAAAACATCACAATTAACTGTGTAAAAGGAATCAATGCACGTTATGTATGTGTTCATGTAGACAATTCCAGAGATCTTGGGGTAAGAAGAAAATGAAATTAAATGTCTCTCCTTGAAGGTGCTTAGTCAAAGTTGTATATATTTATCAATCAAGAACCACTGCTTTCTTTGTCCAGTTCAGTTTGTAATTCTAATCTAGAGGCTCACATTTCAAAGTAATGTTTCTAATTCCTGTGGGTTTGAAAGCAGTAGCTGATACAATTGGACCAATCCAACTAGATTTGCATTTTCCATGGACCTAAGAGTGGGAAACTTTAATTCTCAGTGGCATGTTCAATTTCAGATGCATTTTCAAGCATTTAATTATTTCATAAGTTACTTTTCCTGCTCACGATTTCTGTAGAGGCATTCAAATATGGAGTTTTCATAAAATCCAAACTATTTCCTAGACTTACTACGTTCATGCTTCTTGACCTGTATGGTAATGTTACAAATATATCTTTTACAAATACAGCTTTTAATACAAGAAGCAATTTTTTTTTGAGAGCTGCGCTTTGTAATTCTTTGGTTTTGATCACTTTTTAAATTTTTTATTCATAGTGAAACAACTTGTCTCTCTTTTATGTACGTACTCTTTTAATACAGAAGAAATAGTCAGAATGGTCCTCAGTTTAAGTGTTTTGTTCTTATTTTGCTTGTCTGTTGCAGAACAAAGTGACTTCAATGACCTTCCTAACTGGCAAGGCGGTAGAAGATCTCTGCAGAATAAAGCAGGTAAACATTTTAACAGTTGACACTGAAAAATTGCTGTCATTTTTTGGCTGCATATAGCAGGTATTTTCTAAGCAAATAGTTTTCATTTCTTATGGTAGATAAACTATTTTAGAGCTACCAGGCATTATGATATTATTGGAAAATATTGAATTATTAATGACAGAATTCAGTCATATATGCTGAATATTGATCAAGCTTTTGCTCTTTTACTGAAACAGAACAGGGTAGTATAAGATGTTGCTTAAATTGTTTTTGTTTAATTATTACAGCTGAGAGGATAACTGATCATGTAGAAAGTTTCCAAAAAAGATTATTTAGGTTGCATTTTATAAGGTCCAGAAAATTTCTTTTAGGGTACTTACATCTGGATATACCTCAAATAATTGCATTAAGTAGTATTGCGTGTTGTTAGATATTCTGATGCCTGGCTTCTTAGTGTTGCACCATCATTGCCTTTTATCTGCTTTATGGAATCATTTTTCATTAGATAAAAGCAGAGTTAGCAGAAGTAGAACACCATCAGAAAGGAGAAAATAAATCATTTACCCTCAGGATAAGTTTTTCTAGTTACATGGTCTAGTACATGTTTCTAGCACACATTTTACCCTGCCATTTTAGTTTTCAGCTTCAGGTATCTTAAGACTTTTGTCTGGATACTCAAGTTCAGAATGGTGTTCAGTCTTTGTACTTCTGTTGCTAAGCCAAATGACAGAGGCATGTTTTTTTACACAGAGAACAATGTTTTGTATTTTTAACACTGATGTGACCCATCAAAGATATTTAAGGAACAGAGAAATAGTTTGCTTTTCTCTACCTCTTATCTTCAGAGAGCATTTAAGGCAAAGATAAAGCTCCAAAAGATGTCAGAAACCTGAAGAAACAAAACTTTCGTACAGTGGGGTTGCACTTTAGTACAGTGAGCTCGTACTAAATAGTAAAGTGTGATTGTGTGTACATACATGGACAGATAAAAAGTTTGCACGTGTATTGTGTGTGTATTTCTCTGTGAGTTTGTAAATGTATGTACAAAATATAGATGGACACACACATCCCCTCCTCTTGGAGAATTCTTTGGTTTTTTGAGAAGACTGACTTGGTATGCCTGGCTATCCAGCTAAATAAAATCAGGCCACAGCAGAGCTCAGGAGCTGGACTCGTGATCATTCATACCGCTTTTTAGCTCGCTCCCTGGCCTTGTTTCTGCCTGCTCAAATGCAGTTCCCAGTCAGTTTTCTAGGGATGGTTCACTTCCAGAAGACAGGCAGGACTTGATGAAGCTTTGCTCCCTCTTTGGTGAACAGTCCTCTGACACTTCTCCAACAGGATTTTTATCTTCAAACACACCCACGTAACTCATGCATAACCTGTCTTATGGTATTAAAAAAAAAAAAAAAAGTCAGTCTTGTCTGCTGCAGCACACTGAGAATTAGCCTAGAAATGGGAAAGAACAAATATTAGCTTGATTATAAATGGATATGAGGGCCAAGTTTAACTTACACCCACCTGGGCTGCTTTGAGCAGCAATGTAAGACACTGCACCCTGCTGGGTTTTGGCTTCCAGTAGTGACATCACAGGTTAAATTATATAACATCATTTATGTTCTTTTTATAAACCACATTTATTTAAAAATAAACCAATTTGATACAGTTCATCTGTCTTTTTTAGAATCATAGAAAGGTTAGGGTTGGAAGGGACCTTAAAGATCCTCTAGTTCCCACCCCCCTGCCATGGGCAAGGACACCTTCCACTAGACCAGGTTGCTCAAAGCCTCATCCAACCTTAATTACAGTTATTAAGTCCTGCATCTCTTGATAAGGATATCAGACATTGACTTCCACAAAGTTACAATTTGTTTGTCAGGGGTTTGTGTAAATAGGGATGAAATAACTGATAATTCTGTGTTACATTTGCAGTTAAACTATGGAGGCTTTTTTTTTTTTTTATTAAAAGTAGTGAGCAAATGTTAGTTCAAAGTGTTTTTAAGGGTTAGATAGGCCTCTAATAGGCTTTAAAGAGAAAAAATAAACGGCTATATGTCATATATATGTTTTTAAGTTTGACAGTTTCTTTAATTTGAATTCATGAGGTTGAATATTTTTATAATTAAACATGATAGTCTTACTGCTCAGGGTGAAAATTTCACCACAAACACTGTATTGGTTCCAGTGATACATGATGGGTTTGGTTTAGAGTTAAGTGACTTTCTGTTTGATGTAATGTCCGTTCCCATCTTTATATTCCTGTTTAATAGGTAGACTTGGATTCAAGACATATTGGCTGGGTGACAAGTGAACTTCCTGGGGGTGATAATCACATCATCAAAATTGAATTGAAGGGTCCAGAGAACACACTAAGAGTTCGACAAGTGAAAATTCTTGGATTGAAGGATGGTGAAAGCATTAAAATAGCAGGCCAGATTTCTGCAAGTGTAGCTCAACAAAGAAACTGTGAATCTGAGACGCTGCGAGTATTCCGACTTATTACATCCCAGGTGGGATTTTAAGGATGTGTTATACAGTGAAAATTACTATAAGTTGTAGACTTTCAGTGCTTTATGTTTCAGTGTAAAATGGCACATCTGCACAACTTTGTCTTCAAGATAAGCTAATTGGCACTGTCTTTCTTCCAGGTGTTTGGAAAACTCATCTCTGGAGATGCTGAGCCAACCCCAGAACAAGAAGAAAAAGCGCTATTGTCTTCCCCAGAAGGAGAAGAAAAAGTACACAATGTATTTATTTGTATTCTATCAATAATACTTTGCTGAAAAAACGATCCAGGATGATTTTCAGTATTTTTCATATATGCTACATAATTTTCAGACCAAAAAAGAAGTAAAATGTTACAATTGCTTATTTTTTTAATTATCAATGATTTTTTATTAGTAGATTATAATTGGAGCATATGTGTTTAATGGAAACATCTTACCAATGGTGGTGCTAAGTATGCCTACAATTACAGAAGTACTTAACACCTGCACTAATGGTCAACCTGAAAGTCCTTCTGGCCTATTATCTTGTGCCTTTAAGAGGGGCTCAGTTGATGTTTAGAGAAAGTATTCAGAAACTGCACTAGTATCCTTTTATCCTTTTTATATCCTAGTATACTCTCCAGTCTTCCAGTAAGGATTAGTTTAAGAAGTGTTCCCGAAAAAGGTCACTGTGTCTGGATTGTCATGTTTAATAGTCAAAATTGGACTGTCCTTGATGAAAGTAATTTCATTTTTCAGATGATATGTGGTTTTGCTCTCCCCAGTACCTTGTGGCAATAAGTTCCATGACTGAAATTCATTTTGTAAAAGTGTATTTTTCTCACGCCTGCTGTGTGGTTAACTTAATTGTGTGTTCCCTGTTTCTTTTATTGTAAAATATATAAACTGAAGAGTATATTCTGTGCACTGCTTTACAAAGACTTAATCAGTGATTGTATCAAGCTACATGGAGAGGCTGAATCTAGGATAATTATACTTCACTTGTTTTGCTTATTGATTATTTATTCCATGCTCAAATTTCCTCTTACAAAGAGAAAGTAATTATGTCTAAGGTATTTATTAACCATAGTTAAGCTGATCTTGCTTATATATCCTGTTTCTCTGTAACTAACAGCTACAAACTTTTAGTAGAAAATTTGTTGATACTACGTGTTATTTGCTACAGTAATCAGGAAATGTTCTTGAAACTCTTGATCTAATGTTAAAAATGCTTTTTATGAAGGCAACATCAGATGCAGACCTGAAGGAGCACATGGTAGGGATCATATTCAGCCGGAGCAAACTGACAAATTTGCAGAAGCAGGTTTGTTCATTTTGAAATGCTTTGAGGATTAGATGTTTGTGTGTTGTAATAAATATGCTCCTTTTCAGTCAATATAGTGCCTCTTACTTGACACTTTCAGTTCTTCTGTTTTTCTTTATAAACATTTAGATTTTAAATAGTATGTATCTGAGTTTTATATGAAAAAACTGCTGAAATTGACACAGAAAAAGTCCATTTTAATAGGATAAAAAACCATATCCTATTAGACACAATTTAAAAAGAAAAGTTTTATAATTGAGTTGTAAATGGTTCTTTATGTTTGCTGATAATAATAGCATAATAGTAGACCTCAAATTTTTAGGAGAGGTTCAGTGACAGAGTTTAAATTTTTAGTTTTGCACATTTTCTCCCCATTTCTGTCATCAGAAAGTATTTAGGTTTGATAACATTTAATCCTAAAAAGATAATCAGTGCATACATTGTTAAATTATTCTTTCCTGCAGTCAGTGAAAGTTTGGGTTTGTGGTTTTCTTACTTATCTTTGTTTTTCTTAACATAAACCAGTAGTTAGAGTATGTTTTTATTTTTCTTTTGAATACGTAATTTTTCTAAATATACCAACTGAAGCGTCTTTTATATTATTTTATTACACCTATCACATTGCCATAAAGATTTTCACAGTAATACAAGAGATATTTGATTAATTTTGAAGTTTGTTAGATTCGTAAGTCATGCGGAATCTACTTTTTTTGTCACCCATCTTAACAAACTTATAAATCTTTTAAATATCCTTTTTAACATGCTGTTGGTAAAATGAAAACATGGTTTCTAAGATTTTTTAAGCTTTTTGAGTAGTAAACTAAACAATAAGTCCTTTTCTTTTGTCGGTGTTGAGTAAACGTATTTCTTTGGGGGTTTTTGTATGTGGTTTTTTTTTACCTGAATTCTGTGTAAAAAACAAAAAGCAGGAACTACAATTTAAAAAAAAATTATATCAGTGAAATTATCCAGAATGAAGATGAGCAAATTCAGTAATAAATATAAATCTTAATTCTAAAGAATTTTATCGAATCTTTTCTCTAAATTGAAATCTAAATTTTATTCTTCATTTGAATTTATGTTGAAAAGTAATTTAAGCACAGGCCAAATTTTGCTGGGTTTCCATTTTGTTTCTACTTGTGAAGGTACATAAAACACAGTATCTTTCACTTGCTATAAGTTTTTAAGAGTTGCTACATATTTGTATTCTGTTTGGATAGGTGTGTGCTCATATAGTCCAGGCCATACGAATGGAAGCAACCCGTGTGCGTGAAGAATGGGAGCATGCCATCTCAAGCAAAGAGAACGCCAACTCGCAGCCTAACGATGAAGATGCTTCTTCTGATGCTTATTGCTTTGAGCTGCTGTCAATGGTTCTGGCGTTGAGTGGTTCCAACGTAGGCCGGCAGTATCTGGCTCAGCAGCTGACTCTGCTCCAGGATCTCTTCTCACTACTACACACTGCTTCTCCCAGGGTGCAGAGACAAGTGAGTGCTAACTGCCTATCTTGGTATTCCTACAGAAAAGTATTTGAAGTTATTTTTTGGTGAAATGTAATTTGGTGTTTTTGCTTCAGAAATATTTTCCCAATCCTACTCAGATCATCCGTATATTCCCTGTAGAGAATAACTATAAATAAAGCAACTAATTTTCTTTATACTAATCATGAGGAGAAGGCAAATAGAAATGTATGAACAAATTACCGAATCTCTTTTTGCAATTAAAGTGTCAGGCTTTAGGTTTTTTTGCATGAGGTTAAAATGATAAAGTTTTATGTGTTTGATATGTAAATATATATATACTCCGCCACCACCACAATGTGACTGTATAAAGCTATTTGTAGGAAGCACGAATTGAAGACAAAGCTACAGTTATGAAATTAAAATAAAGTCACTTTTGAGTAAGTTTGTAATACTTTGTCTCCAAGCTGTAGAACTGAGGTGCAGGAAGCCAGAATTTCTTAATCAACACTTATGTCATCATGAACCTAAATCAGCTAACTATTCTGAAATGCCTTCACTTTCTTGTCCTTATTCTGAAGGATTTTGAATAGGGCAGGATAAACTGCTTTCTCAAACCATACATCAAAGAGATGTACGGTTTGCTTGGCAGGGGTTGTTGCTGAAATGAAGAAAGATGCACAAGAGTAATTAATCATTTTGTGTGTCCTAATGAGGGTCTTTTACATAAGCACACAGCCTTCGTTTTGGAGTGATGTTGCAAAGGATTCTTCAGTGAATCTGGACTTCACAGTATCTAGTGAATTTTGCTTCACAGTAGCCCAGTTGTTCATGGTCTCAACAGATTAATCCATGTCCTGTTACATATGTTCAGTTTGTCAGGTATTTCCTTTCTGTCACAATGTCTAAGAATTCTGCTTTTTTAAGATGAAAGTTCAGATTCTGAAGTTGGCATTGCCTTGTGACTGGCAGTACTTCAATTTAGACCAGTGCTTTGTATTACACTCCAAAAAAGAGACTTCTTAAATTTCATGTATTGCATTTGTCTATTTACAAAGGACAGCGTTGTCCCGAGTTAATGTAATGTAATTGCAAGAACCACAGGGGGTCCTTTTACATATCAGGGCTGTTAATTTCCCACTCCTCAAATGTATGAAGTTTTAAAGCTGGTTTATTTATTTATTGCAAATAATAATTCTGTATAAAAAGCAGTTAAGTTTTCGGGTGTGGAAGAAAGCTAGTGAGGTGACTGCTTATTTTTCAGTAAGATCTCATGCCGCTTCATTGTGGGGAAAGGGTCTGAGAGAGCTACACAGTTATCCCAACTTATTTGTGCTGCGTATGTTCCAAATGTATTAAATATTTGCATGATATGAGGAGGCCGTAGTTAATTCTTGCCCTTTTAATATTGTTTAACCTCGAGGCACAGTGACAGCTAGAATTATGGGGTCACTAATGACTATCTCACTAAAACATCACAACAGACAAAGCAGAGGCTTCACTGGTTGAGATTAGACTTTGAATGTGTAGAGCATGGTTGAAATGTCTGTCAAATGGACAGGACTTAAAAATCCAGTATTGTTTGGGTATTTCATATTATGCATATATAATGTCCATGTAGCCTGTATAGGTGAGATGAGGGGTTTTTAATTAGCAGTGTCTGAAATTGGTTGGGCATGAGTCCTTAGCCTCAGGGAAAGACAAAGATGCTGTGAGTGTAGTAGTGTGGAACTAGACAGTTGCTTTCCCATCCCTGGAGGTGTTCAAGGCCAGGTTGGATGAGGCTTTGAGCAACCTGGTCTAGTGGGAGGTGTCCCTGCCCACAGCAGGGGGTTGGGACTCGATGATCTTGAAGGTCCTTTGCAACCCTAACCATTCTATGATTCTATATGCACATGATATAACAGAAATATATAGACATATAAAATATTTGGTTTAGTTACAGTTAATGCACTAGCTTGTTGTTGCTAGATGGTATTTTTTCTCTAGGTGGATTTTTAGTTCCTGTTTCAGAAGTTTTTATGTCTCATAAAAATGTCTGTGTCTTATGTCTACTTTTCTTTTTCCAATTTTCTGAACTGTCACAACGTCACATTTCAGCTTGCCTGGAGGCAGATACTGCTCGGCTTAGTAATTCTGATACATTGCAGGTTTGCAAAATACTGGGGTTTTTTTCTTCAAATGTAAACAGTTTTTTGAAAGAACATTGAAGGCTTGAATTAAATATGAAATGTTAACTCCTTAATCTTTCATATGTCCTGATCTGGACAAAACTTTGCATGATATAGCCAATTTCAACCCCAGTTCCACTAGCTGGTAAGGTTTAAGCATATCATTTCGAGACAGCTCCTGTTACATCCAGAGCAACTGGCGCAGATTTCCTTTTCAAAAAATTCCTGTTAGAATATCACAAGTAAAACTAAAGGAGGGGTAAAGAGTATCATGATTTTCAGTACCTCAAGGCAACTACTTTGTTTTCAGATGTCTAAAGTGTCTATAACGATTCTGCCACAGAGTTTCTGACATCTAAAGATTATATCTAAAGAGATATATCTAAAGATTATATGCAAAGTGGGTAACATGTCTGTAACATGCAGGCAAATCAGACCTGTACAAATATCTGTATCACTGTTATTATAAGTCCAGTATCAAGCATATTTTGTTATTATATGAAGACTGTTGTTTAAGTGAGATTGGTTCTGGACGCTTCAGCCTTGTCTCACGGGGTATATTAATAAACACTTCAAAGCGAGATAGAAACCTTACAGAATTTCTTACAGGTGTGATTTAAGTACAGAAAGTAGATTCAATCCTTCCTGCT